ATACCTAACGATCGGAAGGTAACCCATTTTCACACACCTTTTAAACCAATACAGTCCAAAGGGAGAAGAGTACCACTCCATTTACTCGCGGCAGTGAACGATGAATTAAAAAGAATGGAAAAAGAAGGTCACATAATAAAATTACAGAAATGCGACGAAGATTGCTTCATCAGTCCAATTGTAATCACTCAGAAAAAGGATACTTCAATAAAGCTGGCACTGGATTCCAAGCTTTTAAATGATCAAATTTTTAAAAATAAGTATCAAATGCCGAATATCCATGAACTGATAGATAACGTGGCACTCCAAATTTCAGAAAAACCCAACGGGCGAGTGTGGTTTAGTAACTTAGACCTGAAAAACGCATATAGCCAACTTCAACTTTGCAATCAAACCAGTAAACAGTGCAATTTTAGCATAGTAGGCGGCGAAACGACAGGAACGTATCGGTTTCTAACGGGATTTTACGGATTAGGAGACATGCCCAATGAATTCCAACGGGTCATGGACTCAATGTTGAAAAATATCCCGTTTACAAATTGTTACATAGACGACATCCTGGTAGCCTCGCATGGATCGCTGGAAGAACATAAAGCAATAGTGCACAAAATTTTATCAAGATAAGAACAACATGGCAGTGAAATGGGGTAAATGCGCATTTTTTAAATCTGACATCGAATGGCTTGGCTTCAAGATCTCAGGCAATGGAGTACGACCGTTGGTCGGTAAAGCCGACGCAATAAAAAATTTGCCAACCCCGAAGAATATTTCTGAACTTCGCTCATTTTTCGGCTCAATAAACCAATATGTAAAATTCGTCCCTAATTTATCCACGTTAAGCTCCCCTCTTCGACCTCTTCTAAACAAAAAATCGCTGTACAAATGGGATATCAGCCATTCAATAGCGTTTGAGAAGTTAAAAACGGAAATTGTAAAAATCGCAGAAAACAGCCACTTTGATATAAAAGAGAAGACAAGACTAAAAACGGACGCTTCACATAGCGGACTAGGGGCTACCCTAGAACAATTACAGGACGACCAATGGAAAACAATCGCATTTGCATCCAGATTTTTAAACAACCATGAAATGAAATATTCTACCAACGAACTAGAGTTGCTGGGAGTCGTATGGGCTGCAGAACATTTCAGAAACTACCTGTACGGAACAGAATTCCAAATAGTCACTGACCATAAAGCATTACTATCAGCACTTTCGGCAAATCATGGCAATAAAACGATGCACAGTCGATTGACCCGCTGGGTAAACAGACTCTTACCTTTCAATTTTAAAATTTCTCATTTACCAGGAAAGGACATGGGCTTTACTGACCTTTTATCTAGACTTCCTTCGGGCAAAGCCCTTCCAATTTCACATTATGACGATGAATTTGTAGTCGCTTCAATCGACAGAATTCAGAACATTTTATCGAATAAAATAGATTCTAAATTACTTACTGTAAATTCTGTAGATAGACCAACGGTCGCTGTAAATACTAATTCACGAGTTAATACAATCCCATTGGGAAACGAAAATTCAAGCGACGTGATTGGTCAGAATCAGCTGAATAGCTCGTTAGCTTTACTCAATCTCAAGATTATTGCTGCTATCATATCTTGTATCGCTCAGTCGATAAAAATTTGCCACAACAATCATTCTTGGACAGAAAATTGTACTACAAATTGTCAACCAGTCGATAATTCAAAATTTAATTTTAAAAGTATTACTTTTTCGGACAAAGTCCTCTTACATTTTTTACTTCTAAACAGACACCTCATACCACCTAACAAGAAAAAACAAGAACTCCCAATGGACAAAGTGAACGAACCCCTTTTGATTATCCCCGAAGAACATAAAATTGCTCTCAAATTCAGAGACGACAGACTTCCACCCGACCACGCAGATCTCTTAAGAAGATATAAGGCCGATCTGAATTTGCCGAATTCCCCAATTCGCCCAGAGAACCACTGTTCGAAGAAATTGCTTCAGATCATGACTAGAGAAGACAAGGTGCTGTGGGATCTGATCGAGACGATAAAGAGGAATCGACCGATGGGCATACACGGGACTTACATGAAGAACTACGCTAAAGACTTACACGTGAAGGATGAACTACTCTTTTTAGACAACAAACTAGTCGTCCCAGCTACCATCAGGGGAACTTTTAATTCTATGTTACACGAGACTCACCCAGGACAGTTCGGGATGAAATCCCTCGCAGAATATTTGTGGTGGCCACATATTTACCGGGAAATCTACCATCACGGGAGAACATGTACCCAATGTTTAAAAGCGGGTAAGAACATCAAAGTGATACTAGGCACCAATAATATTTCGAAACTCCCGACATTGACATTCGCGAACGAAGAAATTAATTTGGATTTTGCGGGACCGTTGGACGCTAGTTGGGGTAACAACAAATACATCCTTCTTTGTATCGACCGCTACACTAAGTTAGAGTTGACCATGGGTCATGCTTTCTTTCACATGATTTCAAAAACTTCTGCGATAAATTTAATATAGAAATCATTTACTGTACGGTCGGAGACCACAGATCCAACGGGCTAGTGGAAAGACTTGTGTACACCATTAAATCGAAATTACTGGCAATGTCATTCGAAATACCCAAACCATCTCTAAACGATTCGATCGAGAAAATCATCTGGAATCTGAGAATCTCAAAGCAAACGGCGATCGGCTGTACCCCGTTTGAAAAGCATTTTAATAGAGTAGCGAACACTAGGTGGAAAAATCTTATGTCCAATATTGACCATTTAGATAAAGGAAAGGCTATATTGTCCAAAGAGCGGGCTACTAACTGGGAATTACACGACGGGGCAGAAGATGGCTATCTGGACGAGGAAAGGGACAGCACGTCGGACCCAGAAGAAAACTTGCCATTAGCTAGGACGTTTAGCCTACGCACAACCCCGGATGACACTACCCGAACGCTAGATCCACTGGGAAAAAGAAAAGCAGTAACGGGAGGTAACTTATATAGAAAGGCGTCTAACAGAAAAAATGGGGACCCTTATTTTAATCTAGTTAAGAAGGATATAATTGACTCTTCAGAGCACACAGTTACCCTCGACAATGGTCACGTTTTACGTAAATCGGATCTGGCTATAAAAGGAAAAATACTCCCGGGGCCGAAAAAGATAATAGTGAATCGGACACCCACTGGGCATAATACTCATATTCATTCGAGTTTAGCTGGGAAAAGGAAACTCTCACCACCGAAGAAAGCTGGATCGATATCAGCTGGCCACTCGAGACAAGGCACCCTGAGAACGGAGATTATCAGCTCAGGGACCAGCGCACCGACTGCGAGCTCGGCCACTCAAGACTCTCCAAAACATTCTTCAGGTTCATCTTCCTTAAATCTAGATTCGTGGGACGGGATAATCGAGGATTACTTTGACGATGTGAACAATAATAACGTACCTCAAAACTCCTACACCGAGACTAATCAGGGCTTAAGTATTACAGGTCATGCCGAAACCCCACCATTGAGCTCAGAAGGGACAGCAAACAACAACTCACGAGAGATTGTAGTCATACACGACGCGAATACTAGTGTAGGATCACAGGACAATCCTATTATTATAGACAGTATTCCGGAACAGACGACCAGTGTGACTCCAAAGACCAGAAACTCCAGACCAGGTAGAAATGTGGGCCCCCACAGTTTTACGGTAATCGACGATTTATAGACGTGGTGCAAGAGAAAGACGACCTAGGGGCGATAACTTCTGTATTCTCTCATGCACCGGAATTGTCTAATTTCTCGGTCAACTCTCCTTCGGGTCTTTTGACTCCATTAGCGGAGGCACCTCCCAGACAGATCCTAGTCGCAGAAACTACGTTGTCATGGTCTTCAAGAAACTCACTCCCGACGGGCAGACTTGAAGCATCAACCACGAATACCCAACTCCTCGAAATTTCTTCGAACTCAAAATTATCTGACCCGACCTCGAAAGACCCTTCATTAGAGATGGATAAATACAGCGAGATCTCATCAACTATAGATTCAGAAGTGAGAGCTAACCTGGATGAGTTCGAGGACCAATTCTTATAATCGTCACATCAAATCAAACTTATCAAAACAAAACATATCTCTAGTATTGCTGCCCATTGAGACCACTCTAATGGTGGTTCAGCTGACGCCTTCTCCCAAAACGGGTTATTGTTCAACGAGTTTTTTGAGTATCCTGCTGGCTGCGCCATGTCATACCTCTGTGTATAAGTATCTTTTTTATTGACTTCGAATGGATTGATAAACGAAGAGTTCTAACCGAAGCGATATAAAAACAACTAGTTGAAAGACAAAACTTATTGGCAACTGAGCTACAGCCAGCTCAAAAACAGCTCATGTCTGAAGTCTATCAAGTTCAACCGACCAAATAACAAAGTATCTAGTACGATAAGATTAACATGAAGACGAATATCATGAATACCATTTATGTACTGAGTTTAACAATCCAGGCCGGATGACAGTTTGCGACCTAATTTGCAAAGATACTGACAACAAAATACTGAAGAAACTAGCCAGTATTATGACAAATTTTTCAAACTTTTTGTTTTTATGCTTTTCTAATTATTTATTTTTAAATTTTTAGCACCTACTTTAGGCTGCTGGGGAATCGTCTCATCTTGGAAAACAGAAGATGAACTTTCAAAAAAACTTCTCCTACTGCTGATAAAAAACTATTGCTAAAATTGCAGAGTATAAAAGAATTGCAATAGTAAATCAGTAAAATCTGCAGCTAGCTTTTTAATTAGTCCCATCATTCTTCCTCAGAAATCAGAATCAGCTTAAATCTGAGCATCTCTGTTTAAATCAGAATAAACCATGGAAATTCTACTTGAAAAAATCCGAATCAATACAACAAACATTTTGATTTCAAATTGACATTTATTGTACATTTAACGAAGATAACTAAGCATCTGGAACCGCTTGTGGTGGATTTGGATTTGATTTTTGTTCTGAATTTGGTTGCAGAGTGTCTCTTACCAGTGGAAGTTACCCTACATCAACTTGGCCGAGACTGCGAAATGCGAGGAGAACAATCGGAACCTGAGGCCTTCCAGCCCCTCTTCTTCTTCATCGTCTTCTTCTTCTTCGTCTTCTTCCAACATGTTTACCTACTTCACCCTAAGAACCCAATTTGACAGAGTGGCATACGTGGTGCAGCAGATTATGCAACAAACAGCACTCAGTAAGAGTGTATTTCACAGTTTTTTTTTAAAATTTAGATGAAAACGATGTTACATACAATAGTACGTCCTATCACCAATTATTAACAATTTATTAGAAAATTATATCAAAAACGTATCATAAGTCGTTAGTAATTTGTGATACCAAAAAGCAAGCATATGAACTAAGTAACATTATTTTCATTCATTTTGAAAAACAGCAAAAACCAACCAGTCCAAATTTAATGGGTACATTGCAACAGGATTTGATTGCTTGATTAATAATGCTTGAATAAATGTTTCTCAATACGCAGGCAAATGTTTGGAAAAAAAACGGCCAAAACAGGCATTTTTGAGCCATTTTGGACACTTTTGACCCAAAAATCGCGTTTTTTCGGCACGCGCTCCCCCATCAAAATTAGTATACATTGACTTTCAAGGCACCTTAAGAAAAATTTAGGGCCAACCAGTCAGGGAGTGGAATCCCCGAAGTAAGACGCCCCACCCCTAAGCCCGCGACTGATTACTAGTCACAAGTCCCACTTTTTACAATGCTCTATTCTGTTTTCTGTTTCAGCCAACTTCGTAATATTCTACGACGATTCATTTGATTTTCATTACCCGACAGTTCTCGAAGCGAAAATACTAGAGACAGCGAGGAAGCAAAAACTAAATGTTGACTCAAAGTTCATCAAAATTGACTCGCGCAAACCCACACGACTGAGTTCTGACCTAGCCCAGATACAAGGCGACGCCCACTTCTTCAAGTTCGCCATTTTGGCAAATGAGAAATGGAGCAAGGAATTGTTAAGATTGGCAACAAGTATTGGATTAACTGGCAGACAATTTCTCTGGATTCTGGCCAATGTGGAGATTGACATAAGTGGTTATCAGAGTTTGAGTGACAAGTTGAACTTAATCTCAATCACAAGAAGTTACCCGGAGTCGGTTAGAAACTCAAATTGAAACACAAGTTTCATCATCTTGGCAGCGCTTAAGCCAGAAATTGTACCTCTGCATCCCGTTTGAGGGATCAGTCGTAAAGCACAAGGTCCTCGCCTTTGAGTAGAAAAGCCGCTGGTTCGTTTACCCAGCACGGAAAAAACAATCAAAGGAAGTTAGAAATTTTATGTAGTTAATAAGACAGGGCACAAATGTGTTTAATCGCGAAATGTTGATGTTTTCCCTTGTGAATAAATAGTTTTAACCTTTTATTTTTGTAGCAAAATTTTTGGAAAATTGTTTTCTATTAAAATCATTAAAATTCAAACGATGGCTCTCCAAAACCAGATTTATAACTTAGTCATAAATATATAAGCTGGCATTTTGTGAAGAAGCCTAAAAAGATTAATCTTCCGTTCCAATGTTTGTCTCAAAGTTGCGAACAAAATCAAATTTTTGTGACATTTTTTCCAAAACTTTGATTCGTTTTTAAATTTTTCGTTAAAAAATAAATTTTTCCAGGCGTATGTGGAGGACCATGAAGGTGGCGCCTGGTTGTCCACTGGTTCCTCTCTAAAGACGTGGAAGTTCCAGCCCCTGGTCAATGCGGCAGAGATAGCCTTGATAGCACTGAACAACTCCAGGATGTATGTCAACTTTACCCAGGTCAAGGACATACAGTGCAAAGGTTAGTCCATTTGCGAAAAGCTTCCGAAAAATTCATTGGTATGCGTACACAAACTGTTGAAAAAACTGTTGGATATTTGATTTCACGTATGAAAAAAAAGCGAATATGCGAGTTAAATTTAGCATTTTTGAAAAATAATCGACAAGCGAAAGCGACAATATTTAAATTTTCGAAAGGGGACAATTCGCACCAGGTCACCAAATCTAAACGGAGTCGAAAAACTCTTGAGTTTTCATCGCTCCGTGGATAAATTTAAGGATTGCAGACCCTGAAAAGTTTGATGGCTTCTTGATTATTTTCGACTTCCGTGTTCGCATTGTTTTTATTATATCACATGATGTTTTTATTAATTACCTTGTAAAAATGACTGCCTCATTAAAGGCTAAACCCTTTTTGAGCAAGTCATTCATTTTACAGATACGCAGACACGCTACATTTTCATTGGAGGAATACAAATCAGGGGTAAACTCACTCAAATCCACTCGAAGAACGCGCTTGTTAACGACTACTACGGGCGATCTTACTTCCTGGACCGGGTAGAGCCCCCCTCCCTGGAGTCGCAGGGGTTCCAGGCCATGCCTAGTCTGGACATCCTTACCCACAACACTACTGCTGTTAAATTCGATAGAAATTTTCTCAGAAGAGGAAACGAGGTAAAGAAAAGTAAGATACCATAAACGGCGCAGAAAACTGAAAAAAAAAATCAATTATAATAAATTTTTGGGGTCTAAAATGTTATCCATATAATCGATTCCCCTGATGCTATCAGGCAGCAAAATGGAACAAAACATCGATTATAATCCATTGCTTTATCAAATTTGAAATTTCATATAATTCATTTAAAACCAATTAACATGAATTTTTTTCCACTTTGTTTTTGCTTCACGTCGTGCAAAATTTTGCGAGAAGTACTGCATTTATCAAAAGAGTAATACGGAAATTTTGCAAAGTGACTGTACGGACCTCTCCATTTCTAAACCCAAACTTTACCCAATGTTTGCCCCTAGCCCATTTTCCATCAACATTCGCCCACTTGCCCAATAACACCCATCTACGTTTGCCCCTTTGCACCCCTAATTCTCCCCCCAACATTTGTTCTTTTGTATCACCACTATTGTTTAGCCTTCTGCCCTTACCGTCCATCAAGGTTTGTCCCTTTGCCCCTTACTCCACCCCAAACAAAATTTGCCCCAACTTTTCTCCGTTTGTATCCCACCATTGTTTGGCCCTATGACTTTACCCTTCCATCAAAGTTTGTCCCTTTGCCCGTTACCCCTCCCCACCAAAGTTTGGCCCAAATTGTCTCTTTTTGTAACCCCAACATTGTTTGGCCCTCTGCTTTTACTCCCCATAAACGTTTGTCCCTTTGCCCCATGCCCCACCCCCAGCCCCACCAAAGTTTATCCCTTCACCCATTATTCTCCCCCACCCCACCAGACACCAGAACAACCAACTCCCTTCGTTGTAATTTTGTAACCATTCCGCCAAACAACTCGGTACATACAAACTTTTTTCGGTAGTTTTTTTAAAGTACTACTCAAAAGGCCATTTTTGGAAACTTTGCGTTTTTTGCTGCGCGCGGTTGCTCTCAAAATAAATATTTTCATACATATATACATGAATACATTTAAATGTAGTCAACATCCATTCCTCCTACCTACGAAGACTCTAAATAAATTAAGAAAACTGTTGAGAGAAACAAAGTTGAGAAAATTGAGTAAATCGCAGAAAAAAAGTGGGAATTGAATTACAAAAAGTCTGTAATTGTTCAAAATGTGCAAACAACTTTAAATGCCTTGAATTTCGTATCTAATTGAGCTGGAAAACTTTTTTTGTTCTTTGTCTTAATCTAAATATAAGAAAAATATATTAAAACAATTGATTTGCAACCTGTGCTGGAAGTTTTTCCCTTCTGAACATCTAGAAGTCAGGTATTTTTCGGGTCTGCATTACATCTGGGGCATACATGTTTTATGCATGGGCGCAACTGCTAGAGACCTGCATCAGATCTAACAAGTTTGCTTGCATGCAGTTCTGACCAGGTCTGCATCAAACATGATCAGATCTTGTTGACGGATGACCAGATCTGGTTGACGGATGACCAGATCTGGTAGGCAAATGACCAGATCTGGTATATAGATAACTAGACCTGACTGACCGAGATCAGAATTGAATGACACTTAATATACTCTGAATATTTCAATGGACGAGCGAACAGCTTAAGCAAAACTGTTTATTAGATTATATTACTCAAACAGAGTTTTCCATAAAATTTTATTTCATAAAAACAAAACAAAATTCTTGGAAATCACTTCAAAATTCCTATTGTTTTTTGCATCGAACGACGTTGATGGTACAGCTGCAGATTGCCCAGTTTTAGTCAAAATGTTGACCGATTTTTTTTCTCTCCAAATTATCCGTTTTCGATTCTGATTATGAGAAGCATCATATACAGAAGGAAGGCTTTAGTTGTTGGTTATCTAAAACAATTTTGTTTCAATTAAAATTACTTTCTCATACAAACGGCCTTTATTCTAATGCTTTAGTAAATAGTAGCAAATAATCTTTTTTTCCGATGATACTTATTACTTTTCACTTTTATAGACACTGACAAAAAAACTCAATTCTAATTGACTTCTATCCATGGAACTCCTGAGCACGATGTATTTATTCTGAAAATTAATTATGTAAAACGCATGCATTACGAGCAAAACGCACAAACAAAATTGGTTTTCACAATATTTGTGTGGGTTTGCATTTCAATGCTAATAATGACTTACGTTGAAGTTTTTTCAATCAACCTGCTTCATAAAAGCTGTTAATTTTGTAGAAACCTAGGCTGTACTCAAAGTCATTTCCTGAAAAATTCATATTTTTTCCGTCCCTAAATGGTTTTGGGGGTATATTAAATGGTTGAATAAATTGAATAAATTATAAAATATAATTTTTAACTAACTGTATAAATTGCTAATTTGAGGTACATCTTTTTTGAGTTAAAAAATTTGGAAACATTCCCCATTTTTTAGCTTCAATCTAAAAATTATTGAAAACTGTTTCTTTGGGACGATGAATCATTTTTTCGCAACAAACAGATTCTGCGTTGAAGGTGACCAACTGGACCCTGCTGAGTCGTTTCTCTGTGGCTGAGCAGGAGTGGATCCCTCCCCCCGCCACCCTCAAGACCAAGTCCGGCAGCCTAGATGGCCAGGTGTTGCGAGTCGTCACCATAGTCGAAGGTATATACCGAGTATAAGATTATTAAAAGAAATTAATAACACCCTCGCTAATATTAAAACGGGGCGTACTAATTGTAGGACAACCAGATTCTTGATGTATCTAGTTTTGTTACTTTTTTTGACAATTTTGATTGGCCAATCCTACAATCCTACATTTATTCTAGGCGAAGCGCCAGTATTCAGGGGTGGATTTAGGATTTTCTAAAGGGGGGGGGCAGATTTTCAAAAAAAAATCGAAAATTTTGTCGACCTTTATTTTTAGGTCGACTAAATTATTTTTTTTCGAGCTCTCCCAAACCAATAAAAAGACCCTGTTTTGGCCAAGTTTTCTGAAATGCAGGCAAAATTTTGAAAAAACAGGCCAAAATTGGCGTTTTTAGGCACTTTTTTGAAAATTTTGACCGAAAAAAATATTTTCGGCCGGTTGTCACAACCTGTCAAAATCCCGCCCCAACCCCCGCCCCCAAATCCGCCAGTATGCACTAATTTTCAGGGAGTAGGTGCGAGTAAAAACGCGCAACATTTTGTTAAAACTTTTCAACAAGTTTTGAAGAATGGCAATTTTGACAGGTTGTAGGTCATACTAAATGAATTGAAGTTATACTATGAAATTATGCCATACATATACTAAATTGGAAAATGATCTGTTTTGTTTTTTGACAAAAATTTTTCATAAAATTTTCACAAAATTTTCTCTACCTGCGGAGCAACCGATTCTCTCAAGACAATCTTAAAGTCGTTCCCACCATTGGGTATTTATTACCCAGGGCAGTGTGTTTGGTGAGTTATGTTCTAAGGTCAACTCATAGAGTAATTTCAGATAAGGTACACCGTCTGCTCGTCACGCTATCTTATTTTCGGTTGGATAGATTCGTGCAACTTCTTAGTCTAACACCGATCTTAATCTTACTCTTATATCTCTTAGTCTCAATAGATCTGGAGTATACTGGTTTAGTTACGAGTCGGTCTCTTGGAGCAAGCAACTAAGTTGATAAAATATCTAATTTATAACCAATAATAATATATAGTTTGGAGCTGGTTCCACCCATCTGGTGTTTACAGAGTTTTTGTTCTTTTGACTTTTATCTGTAATGTAGGATGATGATGATCGTTTGTATTTCGCGAGCATCATTCCTATTCCGTTCTTGGGAGTGAAAACTCCAGGAAGCTGGAATCGTAGAGGTCGTCCTGTCATTCGACAATGACTGTGACCGCCAACGAAATCAATCTGATTTCCAAATGGTTTGTTATGATCGTTTGCTCTTGATCGATGTGGAGAACTGTGCTTCGATCTTCTTAGTTCCATTGGGATTAAACACAAAAATTAATTGAAAAAAGTAAGAAATGAAAAGCTGAGATTCTGAAAAACCCAACAATCAGCTTTAAAACATTGCTAGATCATCGATATTTATTGTTAAAATGATAATTTCCATTCTATGAAAGGTTGTACTTCGATGAGTTTTTACATTGTCATTGATCAATCCGGCTCATTCATCAAACAAATCCTAGTGTTACTTATGAAGGCTCGTTCCAGTGATTTGCTGGTTTTACCTGTGAGGGGGGTTTAGGAGCTCATCTGTTCATAACGGGGGAAGGGGAGAGTTCTAAGCTGATCCCTTTAATGAGTGTTCTCTAAGGGGGTAGTTCAACTGGTCTCAGTTACGAGAAGAGGAGATTCCTCAATTGATCCATTTAATTTTCGCTAAAGTGAGGAACAGTTCACCTGTTCATAGTGGAAGGGGAGGATTTGCTGATTTGATCCTTTCAAAGCATATGCTTTGCAAACTTTTTAGAGCCCTTCATCATGCGTAGCGTGGACGAGGCCGGAAATGTGTCGTATGAGGGCTACTGCATTGACATCCTGCGTCTGATCCAGACCAAAGCCAGAGAGAAGTTTGGCGAGCACTTCACCTTCGAGATCTACGAGGTGCACGACAACTCCTACGGGGTCTTCGACCACAACAAACAGAAGTGGAGCGGACTCATCGGCTAGTCTGCCTTCCAGTTCCTTTAATTATTTTTTCACTTCCCTCTATCATCAAATTCTTTTACTCAACAAAATGTTATAAAAATCTGAAACAAAATTGAGACACTTTTGAGAATGAAAGTTTTTGAGTACTTTTGTGACCACAAAAGCGCCTCCACGTCAATTTGGAAATTTTTAAGATTTATCGGACGAGTGTAACTGCTTCAGACATGTTTAAAGGCAATCGGAACAGCATTCTAGTTTATCGGTTTTTTAAATCTTATTATAATACAGTCATAGATTAGTTTTCAGGCGATGAAATGAACGAAAAGCTTTTCCTTTTTGCGTCATTTTCTCTGCAACTAGATCTATCAAAATTAATAAAGATAACTGCGAAAAAACATTAGAGGGCAAAAACAACATCGAAACAAATTTAACCGAACAATGACAAAAACGAAGTTATGTGAGAAGAAATTCATCCAGCCATTTTTCTTCAATCAAAACTAATACAAACTTTTTACGTCCTTCTTCCCCTCATAACACACAAAAACTTTTTTCGTGCATCAAACTACACGGCAAAAAGAGTCTACTAAGCCCATATAAAAAAATCACATTTCAAAGAACCGAGTGGCAAAACTGAAAGCAATTTAAAAAGTGCAGAGGGAAACGTAAAATTATGTTTCTTTGGAATTGACTCATTGGTTCAAAAATAATTCCTTAAGCCAATAACAAATACGCTGAAATAATTTAGGCTGAACAAAATTTTTAATTGAAAAAAAAGAAAAAAAACGCAAAGTCAAAGTAAGTAAAATGAAATAAATCAAACACTACAAGCAACATTTAAAAACTTTCGCGCAGCAAAAAAATATATTCTAAGATGTGTCAACTAAGTCAACAAAATATTAGCAGACAAATAATTAGCGTACAATCTTATTCAAAACAGAATATTTCTCGTTTGAAAAAGAAACTGGTCATGATCAGATTCAAACCAAGGACCTTTGCCCCCAGGCTTGTTTGTAACTTCCTGCTAAAAGGGCCAAAAGCGCTATAAAAATTGAATTAATCATGAAACAATTTATCACTAGAGATGATTCCAGAAGTCAATATTAGATGAGTCCTGAGAACAAAGTTATTTACGGGAATAACTTTAGAACCCAATTGCAATACATTTAAAATGCTTAGCTTTCAATTGAAATTATGTACTTGATGGTTTAAAATACATTTTAGAATACAGCCGGTTGATAACTGTAAGATATTTTTTCAAGGTGTTGCTTAGTCATTTTAACATAGGTTGCCAGAGAGGTGCGTAAGTGCCAGAAAATCCCCGTAAACAGCCGAAGCAGTTTGAAATTTTAGGCTTACGAAATTTGAAATTTTAAGTATGTGTCGGAAGACTAAAGGCTTAAGCTAAGCACTTATATAGGTTTCATATCACAAAAAAAATTGCTTATTTGGTTAACCTCTTAGTCAGAAGTTAATTTGAATTTCATCATTGTGATTAGTAAAATGCCAAAACCTAAGTCATAAATTATTTCGCAGTTTTTGTATTCCTTTTTTTAGCAAAAAAATTTACACAAAGGCAAAACGGAGTTTCGCAACACACGCGATTCAATTACAAGAGTAATCACAAGGTGTTGATTAGAAAAAAAAGTCTTATTTTTTTTGAAAATAGCTGAAAAATTTATTTTGAAAAAGTCGATTAAACTATATCTAAAAAATGTTCATACCTTTGCCCCGGATGAGGCTCGTAAACTGCTTTTAATCAAGGATCGATAGGCAAAAAGGCGAAATAACGCGTGTTGATCCTCGTTAAGCCAAAAACGAAATTAAAGTCAAAAAAAATTTCAAGCTATCAATTTTTAAAATCATATGTCTACGACCCAATTCCTCCTCAATTAAGTAAATTGTTTAAGAGATTGCCCTTGAAACTACAAATTATGAAAAACGAAGCCAAAATGACGTGAGCCAAATCCGTTTAATCAAAGTTTAAATTTAAAATTCGATTCAAATTTAGAGTTGGCAAATTTACTAACTACGGAACATTTTTCAATTACACTTCAATTTTCAAGAAATTGAGCGTGTGTGAGCAGCAGCAGAAATTGTGAGAAAGGTTGTTCATCGGAAAAAAATATAGTTCCAGATTACAACTCCTTTGTTCTCATTTTCGCTTGCTCACAAGTTAAATAAGGGCGTATTTTAGATTCTTAGCTTTCCAACAAAAAAACTAATTTTAAAATTTCAAACTGCCTCTGCTGTTTACAAGGAACTTCTGGCACCAACAGCGCTCCTCTGATTAAATGGCTAAACGACGTTCTTAAAACAAAACTGATTATCCGGCTATTTTCTTAAATTAAGTTTCATACATTGACTGTTGAAATGTTGAAATTTCAACAGTGAATCTCTAGCAGTGAATCTCTAGCAGTGAATCTCTAGCAGTGAATCTCTAGCAGTGAATCTCTAGTAGAATCTCTAGTCGTCGCCTCAAAACTAAAAGTTTCAATTTCTATGTTCCCTGACTGTAAGAATTTGAAAGGATGTCAATATCCTGCCAGTAAAAGTCCTACTGATTGGTTTGTCTTAGGTGACATTCTGCTTCGAAAGGCGGACATAGCAGTGGCGGGAATGATTAGGAACTTCGACAGGGAACAGGTGGTGGACTTCACTGCTCCATATATGGACTATGGAGTGGGCATACTGATCAGAAAGCCGTCCGCCGAAATCAATATTTTCAGTTTCCTCGGTAACCACTCAGAACTAATTTCAGAGCCGAATAATTTGATTGGTGAAAAACAAGTTCTTTCGCAATCTGAAACTGAAAATCATGCTCATCCCCAAAGGATACTCGGCATCCAATTGCTTCATCTCTATAGCTGTTTTGAGAAGAGGGTTGTGTTTCCCGGAGAAGATTGTTTTTTTTCTTGAATTTCCTGTTTACAAAATTTTTTTAAAAATAAATATACTGTTTCGGTTTTATCACTCTTTCTGATATTAATTTTGTTGCTTAATTTATATTGAACGAGGTTGGTATTATTAGAAAAAATATGCACACATGAATATTTTTAAAGTTTTCTCCCCTTTTTCAGAGCCCCTTACGATTCCAATCTGGGCGCTAATAGCCCTGAGCACGTTCGTCATATCGATAGTGGTCTTCGTGCTAAGCCACTCCTCCCCCTACGAGGGCAGCAGACCCCCCAAAACCCCCAGCAACTCACCAGAGGGGACGACAGAGGAGGGCGAACGAGGGGGAGAGGAAGACGATGAGGGGGATCATGCCGAGGATGTGAACTTCTTTCTGACCTATTTCAACTGTGTCTACTGGGCTCTTGGCTGTCTAACACAACAGGGTAAAATAAACAAGAAACTAATTTCGTATAAATTCTTTATTTTTAATAACTTTTACAAATCCGAGATACTAACTATGAAAATCCGCCCCCACCCTGGAAAAAATTCTAGATCCGTGCCTCGGTTTTAACCTTAATGAGAGCTTAGCACGCCCCCACCCCGCAAGTCCACCAAGTTTTGTAAGTTATTCCGATAAGAGATACTACAGACTTCTATTTTTTTCTGTTGAATAACAAGTTATGTGAAGCACAATCTTTCTTTATATGCTGGAGAAGTTCAATGGAAAGTAACTGTACGCCTGTTCTTTAGGGGGCGAATTCAACCCGAGGTCTATGTCGACCAGAGTGTTGGGCACAGCCTACTGGTACTTCTCACTAGTGGTGGTCGCAGTCTACACCGCCAACTTGGCCGCTTTCCTCACCAGTGGCAGACTGGCAACTCCCATCAAATCCCTCTCCGATCTGGCCAATCAGGATGCGATCCCTTATGGAACTGTGAAGGAGAGCAGCTTGGAGGCATTCTTCAAGGTCAGCAGCGGTGGCTATGGGAGCCTTATAAAAGCAGAGGAGGAGAATGGAGGGTAGGGGAGGGTAGGAAATGGGAGGGAAAACTCAACAAGAGATCCGGACATAATTATTACTGAACAAAATTGTAAAGTAAAAACGGTAGTACGGCAATATACCCTATCCCAGCAACCCTATGACATTGTATCCCATGCCATTCTACCCTTTATACCAATCTACCCTGAGCCAACCTTGTCTCGGAAAAATTAGTCTCGATATTAAAATGAGCTCTTGAAACTCAATGAAGTTAAAGTTTCTGGTCATTTAGCACAATTACTCTGTTTAATCCCCAATTTTTGCTCTGACATGAAAAAGAAGCATAAATTGATTCTCAATCTAATGATTTATTTTACGTAGATTAATACCAAATTAGCTACATTACGTGGGAATTATACTAGCAAACCGCAGTAAACTGTTTTTCGGTGGCTTATGAGTTCAAAAAAGTCAAGAAAAAAATGACAATGTGCAAGGAAACTTTCAAAATGGAATTCAGATGAGCGTACAGTGACAGTAGTTTCTCAAGAAGAGAGTATCCTAGTATCTAAATAGAACGAGCAACCTTATCAATTTTCACCGGCTCGTTCGGACGCAAGAATGCTAGACTAAAAATGAAATAGGGCTCGAAAAAGCAACAATTACCTGTCAACGTGGCATCATACCTGTCAATGTGGCAAACAGGTTGGTTTACAGGACCGAAAAAGCTCTTACATGGCACTTCTATGTCATTCTGCAATTAACAGAGCCCTCGAAGGACAAAAAAATTACAGACAGACAATTTGCGCCGCCCATTTTTGAGGGAAATTTTGATACCCTCAAGCAGCGCGCGGATTTTTTTCAACAGTGAAAAAGAAGATCTTGAAAGAAATTTGATCTTTGGTGAATTAGACAATATCCGCTCTCTTCAGCCTCATCAAGAAAATTGGTTTTGCGATGGTTCTTTAAAATCTTGCCCGATGCAGTTTCATCAATCATACACCGTTCACATCCAAGCTGCTGGTTTTTATCAAAACCAGCAATTTTTAATACTACTCATAAACCCCTTGATTTTGAAAGTAATGCGTTGAGCGCGCTCGCTGTCCATTATACTGGTGCATCACCTAAATTATATTTTTTCTAAGTTGTGCATTTTCTTTTAGGTGAAATTGTCGTGGAACCTAAATTACATTTAAATTCTGCCGACTTAACGAATGGCAGTAAAATAATTCAGAAATTGTTTACGTGAATAATTTTTTTTGAAATACTCGACAAAAACACCCCGAGTCATAGACATTTCCCAATTTTATGATAGTGCAGATCATTGAATAATCATTGATAGTGCAGATCATTGAACCAGTGAGTTCTGGTTTATTGATAATATGATTTCAGTCTTTTTTTCTCTTTAAAAACGGTGTCCCCGGTGGTTGTTCCTTCTCAAATTCGACTAGAATCATTATTGAAATCAGAGGGAGTGAGGGTAAAAACTAAAAAAAAAAAATTTTTTTTTCAGTCACAAGCGGAAAACTCTGACGTGGAGACGTATAAGACACTGTGGAACCACATGAAGGGGGACCCCAGTCCGATGGTGAGGAGTGTGGAGGAGGGGTACTCCAGGGTGTCCACGTCCACCTACGCATTCATGTGGGACTACCCGGTGCTGCAGTACCAGATGCAGAAGAACTGCCAACTCATGATGGTACTCCCACTCTTGCCAACAATCCCCCACCCCCAGCAAACTATAACCCCCTCCCGTCAATACAAAAATATTACTGCGGTTGTGCTGAAATTTGTAGCTCCTTCGATTAGCCAATCCAATCTCGTGAAACCACTATTTGAGGTTTGTCTACGGTTGGGGGACAGAAATTGCCCTCTTAGAAGCAGTTTCTTTACTCGAGTTTACAACACTTTGACCTCGATGTATCCTTAAGAAAACTTTTACACTTGGTCGGCTTAGTATGGAATGAGTCATGAACTTCTTCTAAACGGAGGACCTTTGCCAAAATTTAGCTGGGCGGTGGGGGGCCTGGAAACATAGATCTATTTCAAAATAACTTTAGGTGGGCAAGTCGTTCAACAGGAAGAACTATGCCTTCGCAGTGCCTAAGAGCGTCCACTTCTTACCCACAATCAGTCTGAGCATCCTCTCCTTGCAGGTCAGTTCAACTTCAGGAGTTTATTTTAGGAGCTTATTTCATTATAATATCGATGAAAAATAATATTTTTAATAATTGTATAAAATAATCAAATTAAATCGATGGAAGTTGCTCGAAAGAAACTGTGAAACAATTTAGTAAACAACCATTAGATGGATTGGCCCGCATGTCAATCTTTTGTCTACAGGATAAAGAAATTCAAACAGATCTTTCTTAAATAATATGATAGAAAAAAATTTATTCTTAATTAAAAAGCTTAGAAGTTCGAGTTCCTTTAACTTGCAGCGTGTCGAAACCACCCCCACGCCCGGTGGGGGTGGTTTGTTACATTGATATTGTGTTTAGGAGCAGGGGAGTCTAGGTGCTCTTCGTGAGAAATGGTTCGAAGGCAACTCGCTTTGCACGGCCGAGGGGGAGGAGAAGGCGACTGCGGGACTTACTTTTGACAACATAGGGGGCATATTCTACCTTTTCGCTGGGGGATGTGTCATGTCAATGTTCATAAACTTGATGGAGAATATCTGGTTCAAGTTCATGAGGTACTCTTTTTCTCTCCCGTGATAGTCACCAACTTTTATAAAGGTTTTTTTTCTCTTAAATGTGAAGTTACAATCAAGTCGTTTTCAGTCGAATGTTCAGACTCTTCTTCAAAACTGAGGCCTCTCTTTTGTTTCGACCATTTGAAAAATGTGAAAGAATTTTTCATACAAGTTTGTCCTAAGTTTTTTTTTCACGCAAAATCAGGTACCATAAATAATCATCGCAGTGGGTCATATCATTTTAAAGCCCTTTTAGTCGTGATCGGAACGACGTATAAAACTTTCAAACAAAATTTCGAGATAGACCGAGTTTTGAACTTTTTTTGGTCTAATTTCGAGCTAATAAGGCGAGCGTGCTGGTTTACTGTAGGTACTTTTTATTTAAACTTAGTTTTACTCAAGAGAAATTGGTTTTTGGAATTTCTAAGCGCCATTTTCATTAATTCCAAAGTTTCTGCAAAAACATAGAAAAATTTTTTGGAAGTTTTAAAACGTTTTTACGTTTTTGTTTTGTTTTTCAGTTTCAAGCGATTAACGATTTTTAGGTCCCGGTTCGAGGTGCTCGATTTATAATTTAACTTTCTTGATCAAAACTTCAAATCTTTCGATCGTTTTGACAAATTTCGGTATATTTCGACTTTCTCGACCAAGTTTTGGTCTGTTCCGACTGCATCGACCGAATTTTGGTATGTTTCAACTTTCTCGACTCAACAAAAAAAATAAAAAAAATCAATATGCTTAACAAATTCGTTTTGCTTCAGTTATTTTGACTGTCTCGACTGAAATTTCTCAAGAGTTCACTTGTTTGACCCCGCATAGATTTGTTTCGGCTTTCTCGACCAAAAATGGGAATGTTTCGACTGTCTCAATTTTCTCGACAAACAGAAAAATATTCCCGCTTTCTTGTCGGCTGTAGTGTGTTCGACATAACTTTCATCTTTCTCGACTTTTCGACTATCAAATAACATGAGTAAATTGACAAAATCTCATAATGTAAGCTTTTTAGTTGATTTTTTGTGATGATGCTTTATTCGAAAAAAAATCAATAAGAACCTTTAAAACGCAAAACTCCTCCATTTTTTCAAGTTGAATCTCCCAATTTTGCTTAAATTTTCATTAGAAATTTGGAGTGAAAATGTTGATGTAAAAACTGATTATTGAGGAAATTTCTCTATAATTTTATTTCTTGCCTTAGGAATCCTTAGGTTTCCAAACATTTAAAGGTTTTCTTCTGAAAATTTTTTTGGCTTTGTGACAGGCAAATCTCTTCAGTCGATTGTTGCGGGTTGCAACTTTTTGATGGATGTCTTTTCTGAGCACTTTTTTGCACATTTTTCAATATAAAATGAATTAAATCTTGAAAAATTTAAATTAAAGAAAAAATAGGCTGTGATCGACCTATAGTTCAACTGTGCTTGACCCATATTTTGACTTTCCTGATCAAATTGGGTATGTTTCGACTTAGTGCTCGACCTAAAATTGCTTCTCGAACGCGGAATTTCAGTCGCAAAAATGCACTTGCTCCACTTTCGAAGTCGAAACATAAATCAAGCACCTCGACCCGGGGTATTTCATGTTATAATTCTGTAAAAGCTTCAAGTGATCAGGGAGTGCAATGCCTTGTGTAGGACTGCATAGATCTTGCCTCTTTGACGGTTGCTGTGCAAGTAGAAAAGAAAATCCCGGCAACAATAATAAGAAAACCTGAAAAAAAAATTAGTTTTCAAATTGGGATGAGAGGATCCGAAAGCCTGAATTTTAGACATATTCGACACTATCACAATATTAGATTTGTTCGACATCAGTTTTGTTTTCAAAAAACGAGTAAACGAAATTAAAAATAAAGTTTGAAAAATGAAACCTTAAGACAAAGGTCACCCCCATTTTCATTTGTCGGAACAATAAAAGATACAATACAAAAATGCACTTTTAGTGTTTGATGAAGCCTTTTGAAGATTAAATCAGTTATTTTGGCCAGTAATTACAAATTTTTTAGCGCTAATCGTGATTGAAAATGAAATCAACATCACAAAATTTTGATGGTTGAGGGAAGTTAAAACCTTGCAAACTCTTCTGACTTGTAGTTTGATATGTACAATCAGACCAATTTCTGCATGCTTCTGACCTGCTGGTTGCAATGCATATTTTGATCCACAGTTTGAAAGGCATCATACTTTCAGTTCAAATTGAATTTCGGAAGATCCCTATAGTGGGGTTTTGTCATTTTAAAATCAGGAGTTGAAAGCTGGCGTCCAAATATGACTGCTTAAAACCTTTTGGTTTTCAAGATATGGCGTGTTTTATAATTTTTTCTATTTTTAAAAAAACTTAGAGATAAAATAAAGTAAACGAACTTGAAACTCTCAACCCTATAATGGGACACTGTCAGTTTATACACAGGGGTTGCAAAGCTGGCGCCGAAATTTTTTTGGTTCTAGAGGTAAGGCGTTTTTTTAAGATTTTTTCATTTCTTTTTCAAAAAAAGTTAAGATAAAGAACTAAACAAAAACTGAAGTTCTCAATCCTATTTTGGGCTGCTTTCAAGGTACACTCATAAATTGAAAATTTGACATCCAACTATGACTGCTCAAATACTTTTGTTCTTCGAGAAATGGCGATTTAATGATTTTCTAATTTAAAAAAACTTAGATATAAAAAAACTAAACTAACTTGATTTATTCCCCTCTAGTGGGGCGATGTCAGGGTAGACTCAGGTGTTGCAAAGCTGGCGTCCAAGTTTGATTGCTCAAATCTTTTTGGTTTGTTTCGACTGTCTCAACTTTCTCGACAAACAAAAACTCCCGCTTTCTTGCCGGCTGTAGTTGCTCCTATAGTATTTTATAGTTTTCAAAAGCAATCAAATTGCTAAGACATTGAGACGGCTTCTATTTTGACTTTCTAGAGTACAGTCGATTTGTAGGAACGGTAACAAAAAAGTAAAAAAAAAAACACGCCCGACCTATGTTTCGACTGGGCTCGACGAATGTTTCAACTTTCTTTATCGAATTTGGGTATGCTTCGACTGTGCTCGACTTGTATTTCGACTGTGTTCGACCTACGTTTCGACTGTGCTCGAGTTATGTTATGACTTTCTCTATCAGAAACTGGTTGTTTCAACTGTACTCGTCATATCTTTTGACTTTTGATTTTTTCGACTATCAAATAACATGAGTAAGTGACAAAATCTCATAATGTAAGCTTTTCAGTTGATTTTTTTGTTTTAATTTTTTTTACTCAAAAATAAATCAATAAGAACCCTTAAAATGCAACAATCCCTTCTGTTTTGCAAGTTGAATGTCCCAATTTGGCTTATATTTTCATAAGATATTTGGACTGAAAATGTTGATGTAAAAACTGATAATTGAGGAATTTTCTGTAGATCTTTTTTTCCCGCAGGAATACTTAGGTTTCCAAAACCTAAATTCTGAAACCTTTTAGTTTTTGGTAGCCAAACCTTCTCAATCGATAATTGCGAGTTGCAACTTTCCGACGGAGGTCTTTTCTGAGCTCTTTTTTTTCTGCTCATTTTCCAATATAAAATGAAGTAAATTCTTGAAAAATTTAAATTAAGAAAAATAGGCTTTGATCGACCTATGGTTCGACTGTGCTTGACCTAAGTCTTGACTTTCTTGACCAAATTTGGGCATGTTTCGACTTTGTGCTCGAATTAAAATTGCTTCTCGACTGCGGAATTTCAGTCGCAAAACTGCACCTTCAAACTGCACTTTGAAAACTCCAATTTCAAATTGAAACATAAATCAAGCACCTCGACCCGGGGTATTTCATGTTATAATTCTGTAAAATCTTCCAAGTGATCGGGGAAAACGTTGCCTTGGGTAGTAATGCATAGATCTTACCTTTTGAATGCATGATACTGCAAGACTTGCATCTTATGCGGGTTTTATCTTATGCAAGAGGGGCATTAAAATCAATAGCTATTTGTTCTGCTGTTTTATTTTGTCATATTAAAATCTTTTGACGTTTTTGCTAATCTTTGGCAAATAATTTACGTAATTGAACATTGGATAATCTATAAAATAAGGATAGACGGTTGCTCTGCCGGTAAAAAAAACTGAAACCCAAAGACAAAGGTCATCCCCACTTTCATTTGTCGCGTAATAAAAGTTATAACAGAAAAAAGCTTTTTTAGGTTTGATGAAGACTTTTGAAGACAAAAGTAGCTGTTTTGGCCAGCAATTACAAGTTTTTCTTAGCACTAATCGTGATTGAAAATAAAATACCTTTTACAACATTTTGCTTGTTGAGGGAAGGTAAAACCTTGCAAATTCTTCTGACTTGTATTTTGATTTTTGCAATCAGACCAATTTCTGCATGCTTTTGACGTGCTGGCTGCAATGTATAAATTGATCCTTAGTTTGAAGTCCATAATTTTTGCTTTTCAAATTGAATTTCGAAAGAATGTTTTTCAAACTAAATTTGGGAAGACTTACTTGCTTCTGACCTGCACAAATTGATGACTTTTTGCAGTATCTTGCCATTCTTATTTTCTGAGCTCCAATTTGAGGAGTTTGATATTATAAAATTTCACGTCAGAAGGATTGTTTTTCTCTTAGCTTTTTTTTCCAATTTATGTCCTTGCAATAATTTGAATTTCCATAGTCTTCTCACTTGTAAGATGCTTGCATTCCAAATTGCGCGCCATAAGATTTGGCTTTAACTGACGTGCAGTTTGCAATGCATAATTTTGCAAGAGTTTTGCCTATCATGCATCTTTCTATCTATACATTATTTAAATTCGCATTCCAATTGTCACATGTTTAAGTAGTCCCTATGTTTACATGTTTAACTTTTTCAACGGATTTTTTTTGCACGTTTACCGAAACAGTTTTTGAACGTTTAAGATATATCGTATATTGTAATGCATAAGAAGAGGAGTTTCTTTTGCAAATTTTCTATGTTGATCTGTTGAAAGGTCAAAACAAATCAAGTGTTTAAATGCTTTATCAATTCGACGTTTTAAAATCCATTGAAGCGCGAATGCCTCAATTCTACATTTTTCCTACATTCGCAACGTAAAACTATCAAAACTTTTGTTTGGGATGCATTACCTTTAAAAATTTTATTTTCTTATTTCATTTGGACTGCAGTTTGGAAAACATAGTTAAGCAAAACATTATGCTTTCTAAAATTCAGGTCAAAATATTGCAAAACTCTTTCAATGTCAGAGATTCTTTCAGGTTATGTACTGCCTAGTAAGAATTTTGTAAGCATTCTCCAGTTATAATAAACACTGCCAAAAAGTTCAGAAATTATCTGGCTAATTCATGATATCAAATCCACTTTAGGGTCTCAGTATTGTTGAAGCCGAAAGTGCCCAAATAAAAGAGTCAATCGGTGGAAAACGGACGGTTGTAGTGTTGAAAAGTTCGCATTGCTGAGATATATAACCGATTTTCTTCAAATTTTAGAGTTGACAAAAGTGCATGTAACAATTGGCATTATTGGTTACCGAATGGAGGTTGCGTTACAACTCAGAAATATATCATCATAAGTTTTCAGCTTTTGGAATCCAAGAATCATTTATGTTACTGTGGCGTTTTAAACATGGAGCATATTACAAAAATAATTCATTGGTAAATCTTGACTGATACATAGATGCCACTTCTAATTAGAAATGTTTTTCTATGTAGAGTTTTTTTGGTGCGCACTTCTACGTGGAATTTTTTTGGTGCGCAATTGCTAAGAAAAAAGTTTCAACTCAAAACAAAATTGAATTGTGTGAAAAACTAAAATAAATTTAGCATGTTAAGTTATAGTTTTATAGTTTTATCAAAGCATTTTTTTTTTCGAAACGAAAACGAAAATCGGTGGAACATCGATGGAACATCGCTGGTTCATCAATAAAACATCGCAGGTTCATCGCTGACAAACAGTGCACAAACAATGCACAGTTTCATCAATGTTTCTGGTCCAATCACAATCAATGTGCTTGAAACGGTGATATGAATTGATGCACTTATGATGCAAGTTAAAATTCATTTTTCTAAGATATTTTTTAAATACTTTTCTTATGATTTTAAGTTTCGAAATAATCCAAGACAATAATCCAAGACATCAACAAACAACTAATTTTTCAAAAGAGAACAAGATAAATCGATTATTTCGACCATGAATTGAGCAAAAATTGTTCAAACAAACTCAATTACAGCTAAGTTTTTTAAATTTCTTAATCATTTTCAGTTCCATTAAAATTTGAAGCATTGAATTGCAGTATAAACATAAACAAGTAATCAAATCTGAAAAAAAGGTCACTTGAGGTCATTTAAAATTATTAGTGAAAATTTCACATTTAGAAATATCTGATGATTAGAAGATTGAACGCGCCATGAATTCTCAATGTGCTAAAATATTGAAAAAAGAAATGATATAAGGGTTTCGTAAATAAAAAAAACTCGCTAAAAATTTGCAACCCATCCGTTTTTTAACCATGACATGTATTTTTGTCTCATAGTAGAAACTCATGCTTACTCAGTGTCATGCTTTTATTGCAAAAATATGGAGAAAAAAATTGTCGTCATTATATGATAGTTAAAACAAATTTTATTGGAATTTTATGGAGAAAAAAACAATAGATTATATTGCGAGTAAATGGAGAGAAAAACATATTTTCTTGCTATTGCAAAAAGAAAAAAACGGTGACTGGCAAGTAGTGCGACAGCCGTTAAGGCGACAACCGTCGTTTGTGATGAGATTTTCAGAAGACAATGTACTTTTTTGAGAAATTGACAACGCAAAACGATTTTTTAAACAGGCAAATTACTTTTCTGAGAAAAACAAAACCGAAATTTTAACAATTAAACGCGCATAAAACATATTTTATAATTTTCTGGTCAAAATGGAATTCAAATTTATTCACTTCAAAAACCGAGGTCGAGAAAACTTATTAATAAACGGTTTTGTTTTTGGATTTCGGTAAGAGCTTATTGGGGCTGGCATTGCTAGTATTCGTATTAATTTTGGATGCTTATACAATTTTATGGTCTAAATATCTTTTCTCTTTAAGGTCATGTCGCCTTGTTTGCCTAGCACTAGAAAAAAAAAACACTCTAACTGCAATATAATTGACCCAAAATAAATTAATTTACTGAATTTTTTTGACCATATAATCTAACATTTTCGTCTTCCAACATAAATAGGCCATATCATTGATTGTAAGAGGTTGAATTTATTTTCGAACATAAAGTGGTCAGATAATTGATTATTAACGGAGAAACTTTGGTGCGTGATAGCTGTTAATCTACGAACTCTTTCTGGTTCATAGAACTCTTATATGCATCATGCATCAAAAAAACATCATTACGCATGTATAACATGTCCGGATTGCAAATGCAACTTCAACCTGGGTTTTCAGTAATAAACTGAACAGCCTATAATTTTTCTATTTTTTTAACTAATTTAACTGCTAGAATGTTAATTCTGTGACATTAGGAAGACGTCTAAGCCTTCATTGGAATCCCACACGATCTCAAGGCACAAATTGGTCCAGGGTAAGCAGAGAATTCACAAAGGAGGTTCAATCACCCTGGACGAAGCCGAGAAGGTGCCTGGGCAAGCGAACACATTCGACTTCGAAGCAAGTGTCTTCAGTCCACAGAACAGCAATTGATGCAAACTGATTTCAAAAGTTATAGTCACGTTGTGAATATTTTGAGCTGTAAATAAAGCTCATGCATGACAAAACTGTCGTTCAGAATGGCTGGCCGACCGCATAATAGTTAACTTTTAATGTTTGTTGAAACTAAGTGCAGAAATGTTTTGCCGGTGCATGAACAAAACTAATTTAAAAAAAATTACAAGAGCTTGATTGTTGTGAAAACTTTGATTATGAATTAAATAAGCAAGCAAATTTGAAAATCGAGAACCATGAGCCTTGAAGCGGTCTTTTTTACAAATCGAGGAAGCTTCTTCTTTGTTTTAAATATCATTTTAAATCATTTGAGAATGCTGATCATACCAGCTGCACCAACCTTCCAACTGTTGCCCGGTTTTTATAAAGATCCAAACAGATTCTATGAAGAAATGTGCAGAATTTCAATGAAGAAAACGAAGGTCAGACAAAAAGACAAAAATTTAAGTTTTGCGACATGCACATGAAATCAATGACTATATCGTGTCGGAATCTTATCCCTATGTTATCTGCGCTATACCATAGGGTAGAATTAACTTCGATCACAAATTCAAGCAGTTATCACAAATTAAATTATCTGGTTGAACTGATCTTAAAACTGAATTTAGCTCTAAGACTAAATTGTAAAACTCTTGTTTGAGTTTCATGTTGATTTGATTCGACCGTTTTATATTAAAAAAACACCCATCGCATCAAACTTTTCTGCCGTTTTCTTTGCAATTTTTATGGTGTTAGAAGATAATGAAATTGATTTTAATGACTTGGGTAATAATCACTAAGAATTCTATAAACATTAGTCAAATCAGATCAGCACTCTTTTTTAAAATATTTGAATCGTTATTCTCACTTGCTTCCGGAAAGACAAACATTTTTGTTCACTCGTTTTCATAATTTGAAACAAACGGCAGGAGAGTATCATGTACTGCAACCTGTTTTGATGCCTTTCGAGAATAAAATTTTTATCTGAAATCAGCACAAAAATTAGACAAAAAAGCTGAGGAATTTTTCAAACATATTCAATGAAAAAAATGATCATTGAAAAAAAAACATTATCGATCAAGATAATAACTGAGAAGTTCTTAAGATTCAGCTCCATTTTCTCAATTATGAGTTTAAGTCCTTTCTCATAGAGTATTTTTGGATAAGTTATACCGTCTGTTCGTCACGCTATCTTATTTTCGGCCGGATTGATTCGTGCAGTTTCTTAGTTTCCGATCGATCCTAATCTTACTCTTATATTTCCTAGTCTCAATTGACCTAGGATATACTGGTATTCTTGCGAAGTTAAAGG